GTTCAGCAGGGAGAAAGCCTCCTGGGAAGTGTGTCTCTGTCACATTCTGCTTTAGCATGGAATCTGTGTGGGCTGAACGAGGCCTCTTTCTCTCTTTAATCTGACTTTGCTTCTGTTGCCCTGCATAGGCCTCTTTCTCTCTTTAATCTGACTTTGCTTCTGTTGCCCTGCATAGGGAGTACAGTGGTATTCTTCACTGTGCTGACTGACCCCAGATGGACTCTCGGAGTGGGTGAGCCCAGGAAACAGAGCAACACCCTGTTACTGAGGACCACCTGCCTGTCTGTGGCATGGTTATGGTAACATGAGAAGGCCCCAGAGATGTGGTACATTCCTGTCACCTCAAAGATAGGGAAACTGAAGCCAGGAGAGGAGCAGAATAGCCACTTTCAAATGATTAGTTGGTGGGAGCTGAAATCAGAATCCTAGACTTCTTGTCCAATTTTTTCTTGATTTTTTAAAATGGTCTAGGGATGGAACCCAGGGCCTCATACATGCAGGGCAGTCACTCAACCACTGTGCTACAACCCCAGTCCTTTTTCAATTTTATTTTAAAAGTCTTGATAGCTTGCATAGAGTGGCCTTGAATTTGTGATCCTCCTGTCTCAGCCTCCCAAGTAGCTGGAATTACAGGAATGTGCCACCACCTTCTTGATTTTTTTTAAAGCCAGAAACAAATGCTCCTTCTCTAAACTTAACTGAGCAAGTTCCATCATTTTCTGCCAAGGGGATGTGAGAGGACTCTGGCCCTGCCATCTCTCTCCATGGGAGTCTCATCTTATCTGCAGAAGGGGGGTAATCATGTCTATGCCACAGAGTCAAGAGTGGCAATGAGAATGAAATCGAAGCCAGAGTCCTTGTGCCCATGTGATTTAATGGCCAAGTGAACAGGAAATAGATCTACATGCTCAGCCTCTTGTCCCTCAGTTGCTGGGTATGAGGCTATACGTGTAGGGCCAAGAGGCCAGCAGTAAGCAGGGGTAGGAGTAGCCATGGCTGGGCAGTGGGAAGAGCAGCCTCAGGATCCTCCCAAATGTAGCACACCAAGGGTATCCCTGAGTTGATTCCATTGTGCGTGGTGCTATCAACTTCCTGCTCAGTTCTTGATCCGGGGGTTTTGGATTTAACACTTCTCCAACCTCCTGGACCTGGGGAGCTCCAAGGTTTGCATGGGGCCAGGTTAGGGTTAGGGTGTTGCTATAACTTGCATAGTGGCCTCCTCTGCTCACTGGAGAGTAGCAGCACTGCTGGCCAGAAGGGCTGCCAAATAAACAACAGAGAGAGAGAGAGAGAGAAAGAGTAAGAAGCCTCCATACTCTCCATCCGCAAGCAGATCAACATTAATAAGCAGGAGATGACAGGTGTCCAAGATCCCCTCCTGTGGCTCTGTACTCCCACATCTGTGGCCTTGAGTGTCCTGGTGTCATTGTGGTGCCGGCTCATTAGGAGTCCCGTGGACAGCCTGAGTGCTGCGTGCTCTGTCAAGCCAGCAGCAAGTGTGTCTTGATCACTGTGCCTGTCAATACTGCCCCAGGCTGTGAGTCAGGCAAAAGGAAACATGTGTTGTGTGGTCAAAAGTTGTCCTGATGTGTTGTCAAAAGCTTCCTAATTTGTTTCCAGAACTGGGTGTAAGAGAATATCTGATGAGTGTGAGCAGCCAGCATGCAAACATGAGCCTCACCCATTCCCCTTCCCGTGGGGCTTGGACCCCCATTTCCCTCTCAGCCTAAAATGCACATGTGCACTGGGTAGAGGTGTGCTGGCCAGTGACAGGAGGCCCCACAGTCATTTCTGAGACTGCACAGCCCGGTCAAGCTGGAGCACCGGGAGTCGCTCGTGAGCACCCTCACTGCTGGACAGGTGGGGAGGCTGCTCCGATTTGCCCCACAGAACATAATCACTTCCTTCCAAACCAGTGTTGCTTTCCTCAACCCTCTGATGCTCTGCTTCCAAATGAGTTCAGTTATTGATTACTTTGACTTAACTGTCACATTAGCCTGCAAGCTGTTGAGGAAGGGCCACATCCGAGTTGTTCTACCCCCTAGAATATAAGTGAGAGCTTGGCACACGGCATCAGAAGCAGAGTGATGCTGCTGATGATAGTGGTGAGGAGAATGCTGCTGGTGGGATGCTGCTGGTGGCAAGGATGATGCTGACGGAGTGGGTGGGAATGCTGCAGGTGGTGGTGGTGGAGATCCTAACTGTGGGGATGCTGCAGTTGACAGTGATGCCTGTGTTGTGTTGGTGGTGGGGATGCTGCTGATGGTGACCCCCCATTTATCAAATCCTCCTCTGGTCCTTTCATGAGGTAGGCACCTGTTCCTCCTATTTCTCTCTAATACTCGCAGCCACTTTCACAGAAAGGGAATGTTTTCCTTTTTTTTTTTTTTTTTTTTTTTTTTTTTTTTT